GGTGTCCTCGGACGCCTCAAGGAAGAGGTGATCGTACTGTGGCAGATGGAGCGTCGCCAGGATGTACGGGACGCAGTCCTCGAGCCATGCCCAGAACATGTCCTGGTTATCCTCACCTGGTGCCCACGCCGCAGCACACGGTATGAGCCGGGCGCGGATCATCATCAGGTGCCAGAAAGCAGGGTCTTCCTCGGGTTCGCCCCTATCTCGCATGGGAGTGGTGGGACCCGTAGGGCAATAGCGGGGCACAGCAGCGGGGCTGAAGCCGCCACTGTGTGCCTGGCCAATACTGCACGGACTCGCGGCAGCGGTGCCGTTGACGATCGGGTCCAAGATGGTGCAGTGATCGTACTTGTAGATGCTGTCATCGTAGAGGTAGAAAAGGGACGCACGTTCGACGTGCTGCAGAAGAAACCCACCTCCATGCTGGGGCGCACCGCCTGAAGACGGGTGTGCTCCAGCGAGCGAGGGGAGGGCCAGGCTGAAAGCAAAGCGCCACATGATGGCGAGGCCTGGCAGGCGGCGCGAGCGATGAGCCAAAAGCTGCATGTCGGCACGCATCTTTAGGCACCCCTGCATGCTCGTGTACATTGCAACAAACACACCCACAGCAAGATGACAGGTGTCCCTACACCAGGTAGCTTGCTCGTGCTGCTGCCAAAAATGCATGATATAGCAAGGAGGAGGTACGACGAGAAGTGAGAAGGGATGCCTCTGAAGGCGCTTCCTCGGAGGGCTGAGGCGGGCCCTCTGAGGCACCTTCAATAGGGTTCCTGTGTGGCCCGCCCTTTGTCTTTGCCTTTGTCAGCCCCTGGGGGCCCCGTCCCTGGGGTGACCTGGCCTGGCTGGTCGATCCACCCGCAGACAGCCACGGGATCGGCAACTGGTGCAGCTTCCTCCTTTTTGGTATCGAGGGTGGCCACCTGGGGCAGGTGGATGGCACCCCCCGTGAGGTGCCCGAGGAGGGCCTGGATGTCGCCGCGCAGTGCAGCAGCTTCGGTAGTTGCCGTCTGTTGCTGAGTGACGACGGTGGCAAGCCCTCGTTCCAAGCCTGTAACGTGCTCCGTGAGTGTGGCCTGGGATGAGAGAACGCCCGCAAGCTGGACCTGCATGTTGTCCACCGTGTTGGCAAGCAGCTCGTGCTGTTGTTCCATGTGTTGGATGCGGGTCGTAGCGGCATCTGACAGTTTAGGGGCCGTAGCGAAGCGTTCGCCGAGGGTGTTCGGTTCGCGCGATGCCACGCTGAATTCATCCTCTGATGAGAGGATCTCGACGTCGCCTGGTACCTCGGCGGCTGCGTCAGCGTGCCCTTCCGCGTGGCCCCCACCTTCGGCCGCCCCCGTGCCAGGTTGCGGGTCATGCCCGTCCCCACCTGGTCCTTGGACGGCCGTCTGCTCGGCAGCTCCATCCGTGCCGTGCGGGGGTGCAGAGGAGCTGCGGCCTGGAGCGCCGTGTGATCTTGCGTGCGGCGTGGCGTCGCGTTTCCCGCTGGAGGATCGGTGGCGCTTGGCTAAAGGCTCCTCCTTGGGGATCGGGAGCGGTGCGACGCCCTTGCCTTTGGGCGTGGCAGTCATGAGGTCGTGGAGGTAGGGGCTCTGGGCCGCTTTGGTTAGGAGTGTGCCCGTGGCGGGGCTGAAGCCGCCACCACGGGCGGGCGGCGTCACAGGCTCTGTGATAGTGGTAGGGGTGACAATGGTAACGTTGTCCCTCTTCGGCACGACCTCAGCCAACGGGGCCTCGGTGATGCTCCACGGGATGGGGCACCCTGCGACCTGTACCGTATATGTGGGTGGGGGACGATGAGCGCGCACTAAGGCAAACTGCGCCGAAGTGGCTGGGTCCCAGGCGGTGTGGTAGACCTCACAGTCCCATTTGACGGACGGGCCCGTGAGAGTCTTGGCAAGCTGAGTCAGCGTGGCATGGCGTGCCGCAATGCCCGTGATGCGGTATCGCGTCTTGGCGAGAGTGGCTTCGCAGCCACGGATGCTGACGGCAGCGGCCTTGGCGGCGTCTGACCCACGTGCAACACGGATCCCCAATAAGCCTGACTTGCCGTGCCTGACGACTCCTAGGGCTTTGAAGTCCACCGACTTCTGAAACGCCTCTGCCATCGTGATGGGCTGGTCCTCGGGGAACCACACGGTCTGGTACTTGTCTGCCGTGGGCTCGTCCGCACCTACGTTGCTGAGGTCGTAGGTGGCGCCGAGTTGCCCCGAACCCGCCAAGACCTTGTCAACTGCTTGAAGACTGACGCCGAAAGTGGCAGCCAGGGACCTTTTTCCGACGCCAGATCCGTACCTGCCTAGACTTTTGCAGGGTTCGAGGATAGTGACGGCTTTAAAGTTGCCGTGGAAAAGGGCCTTGAAGGTGTCCTGCAGCTGACTGTCGAGCTCCTGGCGGCGAGCGTCTTTCTTAGACTCCCTGTGCTTTTGGTTTTGGCGCGCCTTGTCCTGTGGAGCGGAATCCCCTCGGAAAGGACCCTTGGCGCGTGGACCACCGTTCACGGGGGCGCCTCCCGAAAACTGATCCTCGAAGGCCTGATGCATGGAGGGGACTGCGGCGATGGCTTCGGTTTCATGTATGGTCACCCGAATCCAGCATACGTGGTCGGCAGGATCAATGGTGGCGACGGCTACTTTTTCCGTGCAGGCGACTTCCTTGGTGCCCAGCTGGTACACGGTCACGGGGACGTGCGTGTGAACCACATTGGGCGCCTTGGGGTGGCGCTTCAGCACGGGGACGGCGAGCTCGGTGCCGACGTAGTTGTCGTTTTTTGGGCCCATGACAGCGATCGCGAGCTGACCCGTGGTACGCTTACCCTGCTCGAGATGGTGCTGCAGCAGCCGCTCGCCACTCTCGTAGTCGTGGAGGCTGATGCTGGGCTTGTACGTCTTGCCGTCGTCGAGTGATGTGGGTTCGGCCAGGACTGGGACCTTCCAGAAGGCCGGGTCCAAGGCAATAAATTTGGCGTCCGCAGCCTGAAGACGTGCGGACGCAGCTGGTGGATAGGATGTGTCACCACCATTGCGCTTAGGCTTGCTGCGCCGGTGGTGATCCAGCGTGTAGCTGATCTGGTTGGCGGCACACATGCGAATCAAGGCACTGCCGAGCTTCTTGGTGTTGGTCTTGTGCATGTCGTACGTGGCCTGCAGCTCGTCCGCGTTCAGCTCGGCGAGCCCGTTGTATGCGGCTGTGGGGCGGTCAGACCCCGCTTGCTTGAAGGCTGCAATGCAGTCCTGTTTGCGTTGGAGGAAGGATCCTTCAGCTGCAGGACGTGAGCTCGGCGGCTGCTTGGAAGAGCGACGGCGCTCCGGCTTGGCGGGGGCCATTGCGGCGGGCGCTCTGGTGGGAGGGAAGAGGTGACGCGAATCAGTAGGGTCCTGCTGGGACCCCTCCGGTCTCGCGAGGCCTGGGAGGCTGGCTCCGAGGCGGGGCGCTTCGCGTCGCGGCTGCGGTCTGAGTGCAGGGCACTCTCGAGCCGAGACTAGAGAGAGAGAGAGAGAGAGAGAGAGAGAGACGCACCCACAGAAGAGACGCCTGCCCCCTGTTTTCGCGGCGGCAGACCGCGGCCCCGATCGCCGCAGGGTCGGCCCCCGGGGGGGGAGGGGCGGCGCGGGCGCCGCGACCGTCTGCCGCGCCGGGGCCTCAAAAAATACGCGTCGGAGGGAGGCCGGGCGAGACGGGCGGCGGCTCGGCCGCCCTGCCGGCGGTCCCCGCCCCCCTCCCAGGAGCCCCATAGGCTGGCCCGTCCCTGACCTTCCAGGAGGGTTAAAAAATAGCACCCGACCTAAAAACCTATTCCAAAGCTATTCTACGTCTTGGTTTTAAGCTGTTTCGCTCAGTTTTTTAGGTCTTTAGGTTTCCCGTGCTAAAAAATAGCTCTCTGGAAGGTCAGGGGTCCTGCGCGCAGCATCCGGCCGTGGCGGCGAGGAGGGCCTCCGGGAGGGGCCCGAGCGGGTCGGGCGGGTGCTATATGTGTGCACACGGATCGGCACCTGGCATGCCAGGCGTGCGGCCCGACCGACGAGGTACACGGCCTTCTTGGGCTCGTCCTTCGCTGCCCAGGGGTCCTCCCGATGGACGTTGTGCCAATGTGGGGGTGTGGCACAGGTGGGGGGGGAAGAAAACGAAGGGCCCCAAAAGGCGCCCTGGAGGGCCCCTTTTGGGAGCCCAGTGGTGCCCAAAAGGGGCCCTCAGAGGGCCCCTTGGGGGCCCTCTTCTTCACCCCCCCGTGGGCCACCCCCCGTCAGCACGCGCCCCAGCGGAGCCTGGCGCGCGCGGGCGCGGAGTGCGGACTTCCGCGGAGCTGGCGCGGGGGCGCTGGGTTCCTGTGAGGAGCGGGAGAAGTCGGCGGCGTGCCCTGGAGGTGAGCATCTGAGCCCCCCAGGTGGGGTCGGCGCAGGCGCCGTCGGAGGATGGCGCCGCACCACCGATACCTCGGCGATGCGGCTAGATGTGGAGCCCGACTTTCTCCATGCGGACGTCGCCGATGCATCGCCGACGTCGAGGATGCATCGCCGATGCATCGGCGATGCATCGGCGACGCTGTGCAATCCTCCGACCCCATCCACTCGGACCACATCTATGAGGCGTCTAGAGAGGGAGACTTCTCAGAAGGCGGCGGGGCTTCTCGGAAGCCCTCGCGCCCGCTGAGGAATGCTCTGTGTCTTCGGGGGGGGGGGTCAGGGGGCCTGGGGCCAGCCGAGCCTTCTGAGAAGGCCCGCCCCCCCTTCTCACTTCCCCCCGGGCTCGCCGCCGAGAAGGTGCCCCCCGAAACATGAGGCCAGTGCTGCCCGATTTGGCGACGCAGCGCGTGAGCTTTGCATGGGAGCGGGAGACGTCGCTGATCCACGCGCCTTGGCCATGTTTGCGTTGCCTCCTTCGACAGAAGGCGAAAAACGCCGGGGAGGCCCCCGGCTGTGACGACTGGCCCTCCTCCGACATTTGTGTGCGCGTTCCACCCTGCGCCTTGCGGCCGACGGCGGAAGCAAAATCCCTCCTCAGAAGAAGGACCGGTGGATGTCCTCGTCCTCGGGGGAGGGCAGCGGGATGCTGAACGACGAGTTAGGCGAGCCCAGAATCGAATCGATCAGTCGGATGGCGATCGAAATGAATCGTATCGGTGGAAATGGGCAGCCGAGTCGGGAAAAGTCGAATCGGCGGAAACCGGCAGGCGAATAGGCCTCCGTTGAGAAATCGGAATCCAATCGGAATCCGAAGTCGAATTGAATTGGAATCGGAGGCCATCGAAACCGGGTCGAATCGGAGGATTCGAAATGAGCCCTGCGAGGCAAGGCGTGCAGCGAGAGCAGCACATGTGCCTTTCTGTCAGTTTCCCGTCGCTCCAAAGGCTTACAACTACAGACCTCCGAAAACATGTCTTTCATTCGCTGCGGCGCTCCGCACCTTCGGCCTGGACGAACTAAACCACCCAGGTCCCGAAACCCTGCAAGCAAGCAAGCAAAGGCCATGCATCCTGAAGGACGCGTCGGCATACTCGAAGTTGCGCCATAGGCAACCGAGTGAGATAATGAAAGCATAAGTGCGTCGAAACTTGTAGCGATGGGAAGAGGAAGAGAGAAAGAGAGAGAGAGGAGGAGAGGAAACCCTGCAATGACCCCGAACCCCCGCTGGCTCACCACACGGTGCGGTCACCGCGTCGTCTGAGGGCCCCCGACCGTCGGGGGGCGGGCACCACCGTGCGGGGCCCCAACATGTGTTTGGACGCCCGCAAGGGGTACGGAAAAAATGGGTACAATGCCCACCAACAAATGTTGTCCCAAACCAACAGCGGCCGCTGTTGGGCAGGCGGCCTTCTGTCTCGAATGGACACAGGCCGCGGCGGCGTGGACAGCGAATCCTGTTCAAAATGGACAGGAACTGCTGTTGGGCATTGTACTCATTCTCGGTACCCATATCGGGCGTCCAGAATGTACACCACCACCACCTCCCTCACCCCCCCCCTCCCTCTCCCAGGAAGCGAGGAGAGGAACAGGAGGGCAGAGGAGGGAGGAGGAATCGACGCGGTGGTGGTGTCTCCTCTCGGGGCCCGCACAGAGATCCTGGGCGCGGCAGCCCAGCCCATCCAGCAACGATACCGGGAGGAATTGCCTCGATCAGGGAAGTGGGCAGCACACAGAGGAAGGGTCCCCTAGTGGAGGCCTCTTGGACCGTCTTGGGGGTTTCTTGGCGGTCCCGGGCGCCTCTTAGAGCGTCTGGGAAAGGCACTTGGGGGTGCCTGCGGGCGCCTGGGAAGGCACCTGGGCGGTGCCTGCGGGCGCCCGGGAAAGGCACTGGGAGGTGCCTGCGGGCGCCTGGGAAAGGCACTTGCGAGGTGCCGGCGGGTAGCCCAGGAAAGGCACTTGAGAGGTGAAGAGGGGGAAAGAAGGAGGCCGTCGACCCTTGAAGAAAAAGAAGGCGCCCGCTAAAGTCGATTGGGATCTGGGAATCCAGAGACCTGCGTTCGACGACCAGCGTGTATGTATAATGACGCATAAGGAGAAACACCCGGGATGAAGACGCAAAGATTTCAGCCGCTGGCAAGTGTCGTGGACAACAACAACAACAACAACAACAACAACAACAACAACAACAACAGCAACAGCAACAGCAACAGCAACAGCAACAGCAACAGCAACAGCAACAGCAACAACAACAGCAACAGCAACAGCAACAGCAACAACAACAACAACAACAACAACAACAACAACAGCAACAGCAACAGCAACGGCAACAGCAACAGCAACAACAACAACAACAACAGGAACAACAGGAACAACAACAACAAGGTTAAGGCCGGGATGGCCCCCCCGGGGTGCGGGAGCGGATCCGCAGGTTCCAGCACAGCGGAGAAGGCGGCACTGCCCCCCCGGTCCGTCCGAGGGGGGGCGGGGGGGAGGGCGAACAACACAACACAACATCCTAGGGAATCCTGAGGGAATCCTGAAGAGTTCTTAGGGAATCTTCAGGGAACCCTGAGGGAATCCTTACGGAATCCGAAAGATACCCAGGGAATTCCTAGGGAATCCTTAGGGAATCCTTAGGGAATCATTAGGGAATCCCTACGGAATCCTTAGGGAATCCTCAGGGAATCCTTAGGAAATCCAAAAGAATCCATCGGGAATCATTAGGGAATCCTTGGGAATCCTTGAGGGATCCTTGGGGAATCCTTAAGGGAATCCTTAAGAATCCCTTGGGAATCCTTGGGGAATCCTTAAGGGAATCCTTACGGGAATCCTTAAGGGAATCCTTACGGAATCTTCAAGGATTCCTGGGGAATCCCTCGGGAATCATTAGGGAATCCTGAAGGAATCGAATCCTTAGGGATTCCTTAAGAATCCCACGGGAATCCTTGGGGAATCCTAAAGGGAATCCTTAGGGAATCAAGGATCCCGAGGGAATCCCTCGGGGATCCTCACGGAATCCTGAGGGGATCCTCAAGAATCCCGAAGGGGATTCTTAAGGAATCCCCACGGAATACTCAAGAATCCTGGAGGAATC